ATCTGAAGCACAAACATGAGTAATGAAATAACTGCTTGTCAATAAAGTGGACACAGTACTGAGTCACCCCTCATTTCTTTGTATTTTACTTCAGAGGAAGTACTCTTGAGCAATAGTTCTCCAGGCTTCCTGAGCATCCTCCAAAGTTTTTTATTTTTTTTGGACATTGGCTGTTTTTTCACCCATTTTCAGTCCAGTCCTTGTACCTGACTATTTTCAGAGGAATACATTTTTTGTTGTTTTTTCACTTCTTAAGCTACTTAAAAATAACCTATGAGTCATTCAAGCACAAAAAAAGCATGTGACTCAAGGGATGAAAAAGTGTTGTGTCTACACATAACAGACAACTTGGCAAAAAACAAACAAACCCATTTTATATCTTATATATTTTATACCTTTAGGGATAAAAATGTTTTTATTTCCCAGAGATTTATTAGTAGAAAACCTGACATGGTGCCCCCTTCCCCCTGACTCTTTGGGCTTGAATTGTACAAAATGAATCTTTTAACCATGGAGAAACCATGGGGTCAAATTTGACCCCATGGTTTCTCCATGGTTTCTCCAAAACAAACAGCAAAGTTAAAAAAAAAAAAAACAAGAAAAAAAGGAAAGGGATACATTTAGAAACTGAGACTCAACATTAAAGCTCACAATTTCACATCTCCCATTATTAAAAATGTACACAACTATAAATGTTATAGCATTAGCATTTTTTAAAAACAGCAGGTGGAAAAATGACCAATTTGTATTTTTTTTTCCAAGTAAACGTCACTGCTATAAGTCACTTTTTTTTTTATATCAAACAGAGTAAAAAAAACAAAAAACAAAACCCTGTAGAACTCCAGGGTTAAATGAAAGAAAAATTCTGGTAGCTCATTGCCCAGACTTTCCTGTAACTATAAAAATTGACCAAAAATGTCCTATTTTATTTATTTAGAATCCAAAAATGCATGCCCTCTCAGCATGGTGTGCAGTGTGTCCTTCAAAGAAAATGGGGAAACTG